TTGCTTGTCAAGGAAGCCAGCACAGCTCGTCCAAGGACAGAGAAGAGAGACCGGGGTGCAGCCCATGGCTCTTGCCTGTGTGACCAGGTTGAGGTCTCGGTTAGCTGAGACCGTTGTGAGGTTCCCCCGGGGACATGGTGTGCTATGTGCCTATGACCTCCCATGTGGGCCAAGCAGGCAGATATCCAGGGGCGATCTCCCATACCCACCCCAGAGTCAGGCTTGTGTTCAGGAAACCAGGTGGTACACAGCAATGCACTGTTACTTATTAAATATATATGTATATGTAAAAGGACCAAGGGAAGGTGCTGCTGGCTGGTGCAGGCCCTTGTCTATGTCCAAGCCTGTCCTTCAAGTTGCTCTTGTCAGGGAATGCAAAGGCTTCAGCATTCCCAGAGCACAGCTCCCTTGGAATGGTGGGACTCTGAACCTCCATTTTCTGGAGTGTGAAATGGGGATCACCCCCTCCTGGTGCAGGGGGGTTGTGAGCTGGGAGGCAGTGTGCAGAGCACCTGCCCCTGGGAACCAGTGGGCTGGGCAGATGTGGCCGCTGCTTTGAGGCCCAGTCTCCTCCAGCTGGAAGCTCTTCTCAGCAACGTGCCAAGCGAGTGCCCCCAGAAGAAGGCAGACGTGGGGTAGTGCCGCTTCCTCCTCTCTAGGGGCCCGCCACAGAGAGTGCTCCCGGGGCACACTAATGAGTGACACATGTCTGACAGGGGACATGAGACATCTGGTGAGCCACTCAGGAGATGGCATTTCCATCTGGAATCCCAGTGGCCCCTCAGAGGCCTGAAGTATTGGTAGTTACATCAACAGTCTGGCGCAACTCTTGGCATGCACCGCAAACTGATTTTCTTACTGGGAAGGTTTAGAATTAGTTGTGCAAGAATTCGCTGCCTAATTTTGTGACACCCTTGGGAGGCTTCAGCTATTTCAAGAAGGAACTCTGTAAACTGGAATTTGTTTAAATCTTAGAGCGAGCAAGATCACATCCCTGTCACTCAGCAAGAGCAGGGTGGGGGAGGTGGGTTCCTGATTTTTAAGTTTAAAAGGGTTGGACTAGACCAAGAGGTCTTTAGGGTGAAAAAGGTGAGCGAGGTGACCCTGACCCCTCGTAGCTTGTCTCCTCCCTCCTTGCCTGACCCTCGGAGCCATAGCAGCCATACCAAGAAAGCTCACTGCATATTCAGTAGAAAGCACTGCGGGGTACCCCACACAGGGTAGGGCCCCAGCAGAAGTGGCCTGGGTGGGTGCATTGCATTGGATGTCATGATCATTGCACCCTCATGTATTCCAGCAGCCATGTAGTCATTCTGAACATCCTGGAAGCTTTCAGAGGCGGCAAAGGCCAAAATCCTCCATCCAACAACCGTGACTTGGCAAGCTGTTGAACTTCTGGGAGTCAGTGTCCCCAGCTGTAACATGGCATTCTTTTTTTAAAGATTTATTTATTTTTATTTGGAAAATTTACAGAGAGGAAACACAGAGATCTTCCATCACTGATTCACTCCCAAATGCCTTCAGCATCTAGAGCTAAGCCAGTCTGAACCCAGTAGCCAGGAACTTCTTCTCGATCCTCCCACATGGGTGCAGGGACACAAGGGCTTGAGCCATTGCGTGTTGCTTCCCAGGCCAAAGGCAGAGGGATGGATAGGAAGTGAACCAGCCAGGAAAAGAACCAATGTCCACCTGAGTGCTAGCATCATTGGCAAAGAGCTAGCCTGTGGACCGCTGTGCTGACCCCAAGTAACACCTAACCTGCACATCAGTTGTGACTCTGTAGTGAAATGAATCATAGGAAAAAAAATAAGCAAAGATCTGGGCCCGACGTGATAGCATAGTGGCTAAAGTTCTCCCCTTGTACATGCCAGGATCCCATATGGTCGCTGGTTCTAATCCCAGTGGCCCCGCTTCCCATCCAGCTCCCTGCTTGTGGCCTGGGAAAGCAGTTGAGGACGGCCCAAAGCCTTGGGACCCTGCACCCATGTGGAAGACCCAGAAGCGGCTCCTGGCTCCTGCCTTTGGATTGGCTCAGCTCTAGCTGTTGCGGCTGCTCAGGAAGTGAACCATCGGACGGAAGATCTTCTCTGTGTCTCCTCTCTGTATACCTACCTTTCCAATAAAAATAAATCTTAAAAAATAAATAAGCAAAGATCTGAGAGATTCCCTTGAGGGAAGCTGTGTTTTCCAGCTCCCTGAGATGGGTAAAACACTCCTGCCTGGCCTCGTTCTAGCAGACAAGCCCAGCTCGCGGGGCTGCCGCTGCCGCTGCCTCAGACAGGGCTGCCGAAGCCTAGGCACCACGACACCTCCTAGCACTTCCCTTTTAGCTCAGATTGTATGGCTTAGCAGCTGGTGTTTGGACGTCTCAGTTTAATCATAGAACAAAGCTTTCATGTTAATTCTGACAGGCGGATTCTGCAGAAGCAGGACTGTTGCATACCTTGATGGAAGAATGTGTGAACATCAGCAGTCTTCCTGTGTGTCCTGGCCCTCGGTTCTCAGCACCCCCCAAGAGCAGGGAGCTGGCCCTGAGGCCCTGTCACACACCTTGGCAGGCCAGTACACACAGCACCTGTCAGATCTTGAGTCTGCAAAAAGGCTTACATTTTTTTATTTAGTTAGTTATTTTTAAATTTTATTTCAAAAGGCGAAGTGACAGAAATACCTCCCATCTCATGGTTGTCCCTCCCAGTGCTCACAGCAGCCACGGCCGGGCCAGGCCAAAGCCGCAGCTGCATGTGGGTCCCTGTGTGGGTAGCAGAAATGCAATACTTGGCTTTTTTTTTTTATTTATTTTTATTGCAAAGTTAGATATACAGAGAGGAGGAGAGACAGAGAGGAAGCTCTTGCATCCAATGATTCACTCCCCAAGTGAGCGCAACGGCCGGTGCTAAGCTGGTCTGAAGCCAGGATCCAGAAACTTCCTCCGGGTCTCCCTTGCAGATGCAGGATGCCAAAGCTTTGGGCCGTCCTCGACTGCTTTCCCAGGCCACAGGCAGGGAGCTGGATGGGAAGCAGGGCTGCCGGGATTAGAACCAGCGCCCATATGGGATCCCAGGCATGCAAGGCGAGGACCTTAACCACTGTGCCATTGCACCGGGCCCTCATACTTGGCTTTTTAAGACAATGCCTCTCCATTGTATTATTAATAGAAAGCTGAATTAGAAACTGGGATTATCCAGGAATCAGACAGGCACTCTAACATGGCAACCAAGAGGCCACTTGACCCCCTGCACCGTGACACCCACCTCTCTGGTATTACATGTTTCTGTAGGAGGCAATCCCAGAGAGAGAGCCTAGATTCCATTGTCTGGGCCCTGTTGGCCTCAGCAGTGTGTCCAGTCGGCCGAGCAGTGAGGCATGCTGTGAAAGATCAGCCTCCACGCCCTGGCTTCTTGGCCAGCAGACGCAAGTAGACTTGATGTTTTCTTTGGTGTGGGTCTTCCTCTCCACAGGTCCCCCACCCCCACACTGAGTTGCACAGGAAGTCCTCAAGGAATCTCCGACCCAACAGGAAATGATGTTTCCCCTATGATGGGGTGCTGCGGGGGAGGAGGAGGGGCAGGAGAAGGAAGGGCTGAATGACTTGTGATTTGGCAGTTTGCTTCCTTCGGTGAATTTGGTGTAAATAAAAGTCTGCGAATCCCTCAGGGCCATAGGCTGCGCGTATTTCCAAGCACACCTGCCCTTCTGAGCTGGTCTCGCCAACGTGGAGACGGGACCCGGCTGCGGCTGTGTACCGTGATTCTGCTGTTAACTAAATAGTCTCACCAAAGATCAAAACTTTTTTATGTATTGTATTTTTATTGGAAAGGTGGATATACAGAGGAGAGGAGAGACAGAGAAGAACTTCCATCTGCTAATTCACTCCTCAAGTGACTGTAGCAGCTGGAGCTGAGCCATTCCAAAGCCAGGAACCAGGAGCCTCTTTCGGTTCCCACAAAGGTGCAAGAACCCAAGACCTTGGGCCATCCTTGACTACCTTCCCAGGCCACAAGCAGGGTGTGCAGGGCCACCAGGATTAGAACCAGTGCCCATATGGGATCCTGGCGCGCAAGGCGAGGACTGTAGCCACTAGGCTACTGTTCTGGGCCCAAGATCAAAATTTCAAATGCAGTTGTTTGGCTTCAGGAAAAATTTGTTTAGTGCAGGTATTTTTCCCCTGTGTGAATTCCAAATACAATGCCTGGCTGCATGTGGAGCAGAAACCCTGAGTGGTGGTAGAGTGAACGCAGCTGCACCATGATGACAACTCGGCTGGGGTTGAACGGAAGGACTCTGACTCACTAATCATGTCACTTAGGCACTGCAGACTGTCCTTGGGGTTTGAAGGAAATGGCAGCCATAGCTTGTGGGTGCCTAGGAAGATCTCACACAGTGCTGCCGCAGCCTGAGGATGGTCGCTCCAGGGAAAGAAAAGACAAAGCTATTTTATTTACCTGGCCTGGTGAGTGGGACGAGTGGGAAGTAACCGCCCACTAGTGTATCCAGAAGGACCCTCACCGGGGCTGGTGGGTTTGGGGCAATGCATGTTCTTTTTCTGGAAAGAAGCAGATACTAATTTTACTTTCCACCTTTTTACCTTTGTAGGGTTTTAGCCATCTTTCTGTCTGCAGCATCTGTCACGCATGTGGCGTGTTTGGAAGGGTTCCCGCTCAGCCTCGTGGATGCCTGATAACGGATGTGGATAGCCATCTCATTGTTAGTGTATTATATAAACATGGCTTGCTGCTTATAAACATCTTTGTTCTGACATGCAGCCTCACACCCAAGGTGTGACTGTGGCCAGTTTCTGGCATCTGATGCGATACTTGGAGGCCAGCAGATATAAAGGCAGTGAGAGGAACAAGTGGCGCTCTCTTTGTTCTGCTTGACACCTTTGCAGCCAGAGCAGGATGTTTCCAGCAGTGTGCACAGCGCTGAGCTCCCTGCGGGGAGCCGGACTGGCCCAGGTAGATACTCACTTGCTTTTGTGCTTCCTTCTCTCTTCTGTGCAGAAACCAAAGCCCAAGTCCAGGCCATCCATCACCAAGGCAACCTGGGAGAGTAACTATTTTGGGGTGCCCCTAACAACCGTCGTGACTCCAGAGAAGCCAATCCCCATTTTTATTGAAAGATGCATTGAGTACATTGAAGCCACAGGTAAGAGCGCGTTGGCGGGCCTGCGCTTTCTGGAGTCAGTGCGGTTGATTGGTTGTGTGGTGGAAGACTTCTCGGGGAAGGAGCTGGGCAATGGGACAGCTGTCACCCTGGCGGCTGCTCCGGCTTGAGGCTGTCTTATGGCGTTGATTAAAGGTCGGGGCAATCCAGCCTTTGGAGCCATAGCTGTTGTGGGTCAGGCACCACCTTGGGCTCACAGCAACCTGCCTACCTGTGCTGGCAGTGCACGCTGCGGCCCTAGAAGCAGCCTGAGGGCACGTAGCGGGCACACAGAGAGCCCTGGCTGGGTCCTGATGCCCTGGATTTCTTGGAGCACGTGTGTGGTTGGGCCTGCGCCGGTGCTTGCTGTGGGACAGGTGCTTGAGACTGACGTGTTGATGGAGTTTTCCCTGTGGTAATAAAGCGGCTACAGTGATCAGACGTCTGCTGGTTATGCCACTGAAATTCAGCTCCACTGTCAGTGTGGTTTTACCACAAAGGCACTGTTGAAAATTTTCTGCTGTATTTCTAAAGTGACAAAATGCTGTTTGTGTTAAAAACTTCTGTTTCAGTCACTTAGAACTCCATTGTATGTCTCTGACCTTCTGGTTTCATACTGTTGTTTCCGTGGTTATCTGCTAGCTCCTTCCATGGGTATTTGAGAAGGTGCTGTAACAAGCAGTTCCTAATGTGTGGTCCTGAGCACTGAAAGCTTGGCTTAGGAATGTAGGCCTGTGGGCCCATGCCGTGGCAGAGTGGGGAAGGCCACGCCTGTGACTCCAGCATCCCGTGTGAACACTGGTTTGTGTTCCAGCTGCTTCACTTACCATCCAGCCCAAGGTAACAATGAAAGACGGTCCAAGTGCTCAGACCCCTGCACCTATGTGGGAGACCCAGAAGAAATTCCTGGTTCCTGGTTTCAGCCTGGCTTGTCCTTCGCCGTTGTGGTCATCTGGGGAGTGAAACACTGGATAGGAGATGCGTCAGTCCGTCTTTCTGTAACTTCCAGCCTGGGCTGGGTTGAGGTGGTAGACGGCAGCCTCCCCTGTGCTCCTAACTGCAGTGGTACCTGCGGGGACACTAGTGCCGGGTGCTGTGGACAGCTTGCTGTTGGGATCACCACAGCAGCAGCACGGAGCTGGTGGCAGCGCTAGCGTGTGCCGAGGATGTGCCGCTCCAGGAAGGAGGGCTCCCAGGCTGAAACCCCTACCTCCACCCCTGACGGCTGCCGTGCCAGGCAGTGACTTTGGGCGGTGGTCGGGAATCGAGTGAGGAGAGACCCTTGCTGTGGTCCCTGTGGCTCTGGATGCCACTCTGTGCTAAGCACTCTGCTTTCCTACCCACTTCGTTCTGGCCCCTCTCCCTGCCGACCCCGTGCCTGGAGAGGTGGTGCCACTTTCGTGGGAGGCAGACCAGGAGAGACGTTTCCTCAGTGTTCATTTTGAAGTCATTTCAGAGTTGTGGGGAGGATACAGACTCCGTCTCGCCTCAGTGTTAGCGTGTGACCGTGTCGGCTCTTCTGCGTCTCCTGTTCGGGTGTGTGCTCTCTGCGTGGGAAATGGAAGCTGCTGATGCTGGGTACCTTTGCATCCAAGATCACTCTCACAGAAGCACCACAGGAGTTAGTGTGGATCCCTGTCATCTCGTCTGTCAACATTTTCATTTTGCCAGTTGTCCCACTGATAGTGTTTAGCCAGGGATAGAACATTTTTGGTCCAGACCTAATCCCGGATCATGTTACCGTTGGGGTAGTTTGCTGTAGTTTGCTCTTCGTGCCCTCACGAGCTTGCTGTAACGCATTTTGGAGCGTGACGTCTGGCCTAGCAGTTGAGACAGCCCTCATAGGAGGGCCTGGTTCGGGGCCTGCCTCTGTTTCCAATCTGGCTTCCCTGCTAATGTGCCTAAGAAAGGCCAAGTGCTGAGGTCTCTCACCCAAGTGGGAGACCAAGAAGAAGTTCCTGGCTCCTGGAGTAGACTGGCCTAGCTCCAGGCATTGCAGCCGGTTTGGGAAATCCACTCTCTCTCTCAACTCTGCTTTTCAAATCAATAAATAAATATTAAGGGGAAAAAAGGAAATTGGGGGAGGGGATTTAAAACTGTTATTTATGAGCTGTGTGTATGTAAGGAGATGTCTTAATTATACTTTCTAAAACTTTCTTTTCCCTCTTCATAATGTGAAACTATGTTCTAGAAATTCAACAGGAGACAAAACTTAGATATTTTTAAAAGATTCTGCTCTTTCATTTAGTGAAAACCACAGTTGATGATTGTGCTATGTACCTTATTCTTAGCTCTGCAAATATGCACACTTTATTTTTACATAATTCATGATATGCAGTATGATCCATCTCAGAGGTCTTGCAAAGTAGCCCTCTTTGGTGAGGCAGAAGGGCCTGGAATTGACCAGCTTACCTATTCTTCCTGCTTTTTTCCAGTTGAATACAACTTAAGGACAGTAGCTTTGTGGCCCAGTAGATTAGGCCGCCCCTTACAGTGTTGGCATTCTGTGTTGGAACAAATTCCACTTGCAGTGCAGCGCTCTGCTGACACATTTGGGGAAGCAGTGGAAGATGGCCTGAGTGCTTGGGGCCTTGCTATTGATACAGGGGACTTAGCTCTGGGCTCCTGGTCCTGGCCTGGCCCAGCCTCGGCAGTGGATGTACCTGCAGACAGGAGAGCTCCGTGCCTTTCAGATAAACAAACAAATCTGGAGAAGGATTCACTAACCGTGAGTTCGGTTGGAGGACCATTCTTTTTGAGAACTACTACAACAGAGGAAGAGATTGTCTATCCTTTGATTCACTCCCCACGTGGACATAAAAATGTCTCTTTCTCTGTTGTTCAACCTTTGAAATAACATTTTATTGTGAGTAAATTGCCAGCTCCCTTTAAACACGGAAAACGAGAGAAAAAGATCCTTGTTTCCTCGCTGGGCCTTTGCTGCCCCTGGTATTTATAGCCCAGGCGTCTGCTCAGGCTCCTGCGTGGGTGGTCCCTTTTTAGGGCAGCTGATGACACCAAGTGAGATGGTTTCTTCCTTGCACCTGTCTTTTTTCTCGAGTTTCCTGGCCAGTTCCTTGGCTCTTTGTTTCGTATTTGTAAAGTTGGAATGTGTTCAAGAAATGGCCAAGAGGTAGCCCAGCTTGCAGACTGCTCCACGGGTGCTGCCTTCCGGCCCCAGGCCCTGCGGTGGCTCCTGTGGCTCCTTGCCTACACAGTCAGCAAGGCTGGGGGAGGGTGCGTCCCTCGCAGGGACCCTCGCAGGGACTGCCACAGAGAACGGGGGGGAGCGGGGGGGGCCTGACTGCGTATTGCTGGCTCCAGTTACCATCTATATGGAAAATTAGCCAAGGCCATGGAGTCACTGCTCCCTTCTGTGGCAGAATGATTCCTAAGTGACAGCAAACAGCAGCCAAGCTAATTTGAGCTCTCTGGTGCATGACAGGAAGTAGCAATATTTGATTCTGCATGTTTTATCTTCCTGGAGTGTAGCCAAGGAGTGGCTCTGAGCCTGCCCCCGGCCTCCTGAGAAGTGATGAGGGACCGTGTCTTCACAGCTCCCAGTGACCACAGGGCCCCAGCTGAGCATCCGGACTCAGGGAGGACTAGGCCGGATGGTTAACCATGCTGGTTGGGACGCAGAGCCCGCATTGGAGAGCTGCTCCACTCCCAGGTCTAGCTTCCTGCTAATGTGCACCCCTGGGACAGCAGGACCCAACTCAGACACTGGGCCACTGCCGCCCTCAGGCAGACCTGGTCCTGCTCCTAAGCTCAGCCTGGCCAGCCCTGGCTGTTCTTCATACTCTCTTTCTGTTCTCTCTTCTTCCCTTCATCCCTTCCTTCCCCCCTCCTTTTCAAATAAATTAACAGTAAATAAATAACTATGGATCAGGGTCACTTTTTTTTTTAAGATTTATTTTATTTTTATTGGAAAGTCAGATATAGAGAGAGGAAGATCTTTTGTCTGTTAATTCACTCCCCAAGTGAACATAGTGGCCAGAGCTGAGCCAATTGGAAACCAAGAACCAGGAGCCTCTTCCGGGTCTCCCACACGGGTGCAGGATCCCAAGGCTTTGGGGTATTCTCAACAGCCTTCCCAGGCCAGAAGCAGCTGGACAGCGGCGGTCTTTTAGGATCCCAACTTATGCAAAGCGAGGACTTCAGCTGCTAGGCTCCTGTGCTGGGCCCTTGAAAGGCAGAGTTACAGAAATAGAGAGATCTTTTAAATCATATCCACTGGTTCATTGCCTAACTGGCCACGGTAGTTGGAGTTGGACCAGTCATGAGCCAGGAGTTTCTTCCGGGTCTCCCATATGGGTGCCAGAACCCAAGCACTTGGGCCATCTTCCACTGCTTTCCCAAGCCATTAGCAGGGAGCTGGATCAGAAGTGGAGCAGCAGGGACTCAAACCAGTGCCCAGATAGGATGCCAACACTGCAAATTGTGGTTTTTCTCACTACACCATAGCACAGCCCCATCAGAGCCAGATTTCAGTCAGCTTTTTACAGCTAAGGAATGCTCATGTTCTACCGGAGGAATGCCCAGGCCAGGCCCCACGCCTATCCTCAGTGGACTGGGATCCTGAATCCTCTCGGGGCACAGCATGCCCGAGTATCCCTCTTTGACGCTACACACAGCTCAGTGTCTTGTGGCCTGGGAAGGCTGTGGAGAAGTGCCCAAAGCCTTCGGATCCTACAGCCGCATGGGAGACCCGGAGAGGCTCTGAACTCTTGACTTCAAGTCAACTCGGCTCTGTCCACTGTGGCCACTTGAGGAGTGAATCATCAGAAGGAAGATCTTCCTCTCTGTCTCTCTGTATATGTGATTTTCTGATAAAATTAAAATAAATCTTCGGTGCGGTGGCCTAGTGGCTAAAGTCTTCGCTTTGAACATGCCAGGATCCCATATGGGCGCAGATTCTAATCCCGGCTGCTCCACTTCCCATCCAGCTCCCTGCCTGTGGCCTGGGAAAGCAGTCGAGGACGGCCCAAAGCCTTGGGACC